AGAATGAAGATGATGCTTGGGATGAAGCCGCATGGAGAATCAAGCTTAAGGGGGGATGTTGGAAAGTAAGCTTGATAGCCATCTTCTAAACAGCCACTCTAGATAGCCTCCCTAGACAATCTGTGTTCAAAGATTGATTCATGAAAATTTGTAGGCTTAGTTGAACATGCATTTAATGCTAGCCGTATATGCATTAAATGCTTTCACACTATTAAGCTGTATTTACATTAAAGGTGTTCACACTGCTGGTTTATCTATAAATAGCTAATGTATCAGAGTGATATGTGTGTGGGAGAAAGAAAATAAAAGAGAGAAAATTGTAATTCATGCTCTGTATTTTTAGAATTATTTTGAGTGAATTTATTTTCAGTTTGGTTCAGTGTTAATCCTCTCATTGTGAATCACCAATAGTGGTTTGCACCGCACTTCCACCAACAATTGGGTGTGCTGAAGAGGCCGGGGAGGGGTTTCGGCCGCCGGCTTCCTCCCTCCTCTTTCGAACATTCTCTCTCTTTCTCTCTCTCTCTCTCTCTCTCTCTGTTTTGTTTTGTTTTGTTTTTTTGCTTAATAATATTAGAAGCTTATCCTTCCAACCCTTTTCAGCGCCACCGCCACATTTCCGCATCCATGGATCCACCCTTACTAGATTTAACTCATCTCCTTCGGATCTGTCTCTCTTCACTGGTGTTGGTGTCACCTCTCTTTCTTTCTGATCTTCTAGATCTAATGTTTGGCTTGCGTCCAAACTTTCACCCTCGCACCAAAAACTTTAAGATGTGATTTCAAATTTTCTCATAATCCGAAGACTGATGTTGTTTAACGCATTCGTTTCACACTAGGCGGCCACCTTAACTTCAATGATCCATCTTGATTAGCGAAGGTGGGGTCTTCAGATTTCAAGTTGAAGGTTGCGGTGTAGTGGAGCTTTGGATGAGTTTGGTAACTTGAATCTAGTTGTTTTCGATTTTTATTTTTTATTTTTTTATTGTTTGTTGTAATAATTCTCCTTGTGTAGAGGTTGTGTCCCTCCTTTGTGAGGGTTTTTTCTTCTCATCTAGGAAGGTTAGGATTCTTCCTCTATTGAAAGTTTGTTATCTATTTATGAGATTTTTTTACTACCGCTATACAAAATTGATCTAATTTTTTATCGATTTTACAATGACAATTTTGTTCCCCATCTAAAAAAAATAAATAAATTATGGAATATTTGATCCTATGACATTTTAATTAGCCTAAGAGATGATTTTTTTTTTTTTAATTTTTTTAACAGAGAAAAAGGATGCTCAAAGGTGTCATCATGGTATTCACGGGTCTAGGTCCCGGGGTAACCGGTTGCCAGCCAGGTTAAACCCAATCCAAAGGAAGGGACCCACCACCGAGACATTAGTGGATCTCATCAATCACCTCTAGCAGGGCCAAGGTTCAATCGGAATATAGTGCGAGATCTCAGAAAAGAGCCACTAAAAAATCTAGTATTTTAATGCCCTCCAAGAGTCGAACTTGACTCACTGCTATGGAAAGTCAATGCCTAAGAGATGATGTTGACTTTGTTTTTTAGTTTTGTTTTTAAAAAAAGGTATCAGGATCCTCTAGAGTTTTATTCCTGAAGTGATCCCTGAAGTGGGGTGATCCAACGGCTCAAAATAAAACTAATGACGTCATTTTGGTTAGTAATTTCAAAAAAAAAATAAAAATAAAAATAAATGCTTTAATTCAAAATTCCTGCAGATCTGATATGTTGCAAAATGACAGAGAGACAGAGACAGAGAGAGACAGAAAGAAAAGGGCAGAGAGGAGGAGCTCTTCCCACCCACCCCCGACGTAACGCTATCGTTGCAACGTCATTGCCACCGCTGCCGCTACCACGCCGCTGGCTGCCATACTCCAGTAGATTGAAGGAAAAAACCGTAGGTTCGTTCATCCTCCAAACTTAAAATATTAGGGCTTTGAATCGAAAAATTAGGGAAAATTTGAACTTGGCTACCTTTGTAGAGTAAAAATCTGAATTTGGTTATCTTTGTCAATGTTGACTTTGATTAAAGTTTCTTTAATTTCCTACTTTGTGTTTTCAAGAAATCGTTCATCCTCCAAACTTAAAATATTAGGGCTTTGAATCCAAAAATTAGGGAAAATCTAAACTTGGCTACCTTTGTAGAGTAAAAATTTGAACTTGGCTACTTTTGTCAATGTTGACTTTGATTAAAGTTTCTTTAATTTCTTGCTTTATGTGTTCAAGAAAATCTGATTTAATAGAAAAATGTGGATTGATGTAGAGTCCATAAAAGTCAGCACTAGGGATATTTGTTTATTTATCTCTGTAAGTGAGCACTAGGGATTGTTTGTCAGGAAGCTTTGGTGTGGGAACAGTTTCAATTAAAGAAAGACCCACATCCTGTTTAATTTTGAATCCATTCAACCTTAAGTGAAAAAACATTTTGAAAGAGATCCATTTGCTAGAGCTATAAGGTCATATTTTTAAATTAACCAAGGGAAATGTTACTGAATGGTGAAATAAGTTCATATAGAGATCAATATAAATCTCTATCGAATTATATCTTGCTAGAAATGTTACTGAATGGTGAAATAAGTTCATATAGAAATCAATATAAATCTTTATCGAATTATATTTTGCTAGAGCAATAAGGTCATATATGTTCTTATTGACTAACATAGAAGGTGGAGCTTGTGAGCAAATTTTTGATAGTTATTTATTTTTATTTATTTTTGATGGGGGCATATGGATTATTGTGTAAGTTGATGCTTTTACTCCTCCAACTATAGTATATATAGTTCCATTTTTTATTCCACTTCCAAATTACCCTTTCTAATATGAATGAGATATATTCTTCATGGTAAATGCATATACTAAATAAAGTTTTAATTGTATCTTAAGATGTATAAATGGTATGGTGCATTATTAAAACTAAGATGGCAGCATTAAGGAATGAGATATAATTCTTCATGGTAGCATTAAAGTTTTAATTGTATCTTGAGAGATTGAGGGAACCAGAGGGGAGGGGAGGAGGATTGGAATGAGATGATATGCTTTTATTTTCTTTTTTGATGTATATATTATTTTATTATTTTGATTTCTGTTCATTTTAGCAACATGTATAAAGAGTTGAAATGATGTTGCTGGATATTGTCACAACTTAGTTACCTCGTTTAATTTATTTCATTAGTATATTTGTGCTGGTGTTCTTTGAATTTTAATTCATGTTGGAGTAAGATGGAATTGATTTTGGTTAAGAATTTAGGGTTGCATAATCCAATTAGCTTGTTTTAATTGGATAATTTTGAAAAGAAGAAAATATTATCTCTCCTCCTAAATCACAGGTTTAGATACTAAGAGAATAAGAAATTTTTTCAAAATCTTAGATATTGTTGGGTTTAGATATTGTTGTTCCATTGTTGTTATTTCAAGTAAAAAAATGTCAACATCAAATGCATCTATGAGTGATACTAGTGAAATTCAGTTTAAAAATCGAAAATGTCGTTGCGAGGCGAGAGCAGCATTCAGGATTTCAAAGTCAAAGGAAAATCCAAGGATGGTATACTTTGCTTTCCCTTTCAACAACACCAATAGATGCGGCTTCTTTGAGTGGTAGATGCCTGTACATAAGCAGCGTCAATGGTTTAAGATGATAAAGGAGGAAAGCAACGAAAATTGTAATATCAATCCTTTGGTCAACGAATTGCTTGTATCCAACGATGAGCTGAAAGAGATGGTTACAAAGTTTAGGAAAGAACGTAAACAAATGGTTGTAGAGATTAGACAACTTCGAGAAAAGTTGCGCTATGCCATTGTAATAGTATTAATTGGATTGGGACTTCTTCTTTTGTTGTTTAAATATTAAGTGTAAATTAAATTCGAATTTGGACTTCGTCTTTTGTGAACTAAATATTATGTGTAAACTAAGTTGGTTGTTGACTTGAACTAAATATTTTGATATCTAGATTAAATTGTATTAGTAGACCTTTTGATATATATGAAAAAATGTTTTGAAAGAATGGTTGCTTTGTTTATTTGTTCGGGTTCTTCGATGCATCTTAGGCTTATATATATCTCCAGTGACATGCTCAATTTTTGTTTGGTTTTGGAAGTGACCAGGGTGTTTCGTGTTTGGTGTTTGGCGTTCTTTTGAAGTGCTCAATTTTTGTATCATTCATACACTAACTTTTTTTACTTTTAGCATTAATTGAAATGTCACAATTACTTGCTTGAAAAAAAGACATGGATTTAAGTGGATAAATGTTACCTGTGGCTATATGTTACATGTGGGCTAACTATGCAACTTTTGAGCTATGCCAACCAAGAATAGCACACACAGTGCTTTCACCTTGAGCCTAGGAATTTAGGGATGCGGCATTGAAACAAAGACTTGTTGTGTTGTATATTGGATACTCTTCATCACTAACAGATTTTTGGCATTTCACAACATCCCATACCAAATAAGGGTGGTAAATTGATCACTGCAATGTGTATTGAGGACCTAGATGCGTAGCTTTAAATAAAATTTATATCATACACAAAAGTGTTTACAAATTATAGTGTGGAGATATGGTCAAAAAAGCCATCTTTAAATACAGGAAACAAAACAGCTATTCATGCCATTCATCTAATTGCATCTCCAACAATTAAATCCATGCAATAATCCACTTAACATTTCCTTCTTCTAGAACACAGGTAACAAATTTCAACACCATTTTAGCACAAATTTCAGCACAAAATTCAGCACCATTCCAGCACAAAATTCAGCACAACAGTTAGGACAAATTTAAGCAACAAAATCTGCATTATGCACCATTTCAGCACAACATTCAGCACCATTTCAGCCAAAAAATCAGTACCATTTCAGTTGTAGTGTCATTTCAAAACAAAAGAAATACAACTCAAAGTACCAAAGTACAATATTAAAAGTTTTCACAAAAATATTTTCTACATTCACATAAAAAGTTTTCAATATTACATACACGAACACCATAAAAAGTTTTCAATGCTAAGATATTGACGTGTGATCCACACGCCCACGCCCACGCCCACGACCATGCCCATGTTCATGTAGTACCTAAAAAAGAAAAAGAAAATACTCTTATATGAAAGGAACCATAAAAGAAAATGGAATTTTAAATGAATGAATGACAAAATAAAAAAGGAAATGTGAAAAATAAATTACTTGACTACATGCAGGACTAGTCGAGGCTTGCGAGCCATAATTGCTTGCATTTTTAAACAATGCTTGATAGCTTCCATGAAAATAAAGGAGCACTTATTGAAAATAAAGGAGCCGATTAAGGAATACTTGGTGAAAACAAGGGAGGTGGTTCAAGAGCACTCGCCAAAAATAATGGAGGAGGTTGAGAAGCAACAAACATGGGAGTTTGAGAAGCATTATGTGAACTAGGTTGAGGAGCAACAGAGATAGGAGTTTGAGAAACATTATATGAGCTTGTTTTATTTTTCTTTGCTAACGCAAGCTCCAAACCACCTTTTGTCTGCTTTGGTCCCTTGCTAGTGCACTCTCTTCGCTTGAGTCCTTTTGCTTGAACTACAGTTGTATCTGCTACACATACACTTCAAAGATTTAGAGGCATGTGTCGGGAGGGCCTTCTTGTTCAATAGTATCTGAAAAAGGGATATTAAATTTTGCGCTTAACATGCTTTCAATGTTTGCAATTAAGTCATCCGCTTTTTCTACTGTCAAGTTTTATGTTTCCTCACTTTCAAAAGCTCTACACGTTATTGCTCTGAAAATTGCCATCAATGATCTAAAGCATGAAGTTTGATCTAATCTTACATCAACCTTAATATCATGCCCACATCTATCTTTCACATTTTCAGCTCTTGCTTTTTTAGTCCATCTCTTGAGAATATATTGGGAATGAATCTTTTTGAATTTGAAGGTGTCTCTAAGGATTTTCAAACAATGACTACACAAAATGCCTTTCAATTCAAACTTCCTACAATTGCAAGTGAATGAACCATCACACTCCACTCTCATCTTCCTCACCTTTACACCATCACTATCAAGAACCGTATAAACGATACTCTCACTATCATGTTTAGTTTCTTCAATGTTTACTTCAAGGGACTTGACATACTCATCTTGAAATTCTTCATAAATTTTATTTGTGTGAACATCTGTAGCTTGCTCCATAATCTTCACTTTAATATTCACCCTTGGCAACTTTTGGCATGGAGCATATTCGGCTTGTAACTCTTTGTACCTCTTCTCACAAAGAACTCGATCAAAATGTATGAAAAATTGCATTAAGTTATGATCAGATGGAATGAAATCCTTCAAGAATGCATTAAAAGATTTACTAAGTTGGGTGCTACTCATGCCCGCACCCCATGCATTTCTAACATATAGCCAACCCCATTTTTCCTTGACCCCAAATGTTAACTTCAACCAATGATTATCTCGCACTTCATACTTGTCAAGCATTTCCTCCCATTTTAACGTAAAATCATCCTCATCCTCAATGTCGCACATAAATTTGGATAAAAAACTTTTCATCCCCTTACCCTTCACCTCTTTATCCTTGAAGATAGAATTTGCATGCCTTAATACATTTTGCATCAAATGCCAAGTGCAAAGGTATTTTGTGTTGGGCATGACAATAGGTATGACCTTAGCCATTGTAGCATCCTAATCCGTAAAAATTGTTTTCAGAGCCTTACTTGACATTGCCTCCAAAAATCTTCTAAAAAGCCATATAAAAGAATCGGCAGTCTCATCATACATCAAAGCTGCGCCAAATATAACAGTTTCCCTATGATGGTTAAATCCAACGAAAGACGCAAATGGTCTATGTGCACTATTTAACTTGTAAGTAGTGTCGAAAGTCACAACATCACCAAATTGTCCATAATCCGTGAGCATCAGCCCAAATATGTTTGTAATTTGCTCCTCATTATCTAATTGGACCGAGTAAAAAAAAAGATGGATTCTTCAATGTCTTCTCACGAAAATATTGCAAAATGTTACTTGCCTCCCCATATGCTAAACTCTTTTGCCTCTTTGTTCTCAAATAATTTTTTGGTCCACTTTTGTGAACCCAAGCGACTCCCTTCCACCAGCATCATTACCCATGAGCTCAAATGCAGCATTAAGTCGGATTCCAGATTTTTCAGCTAAATCTATTTCGGTTGCCTGTGATGCAGATATCTTCCTTTGGGATGGTAACATATGCGTAGATTCTGTTGGTACAAAAATATGATTGTGTTGTTTAACAAACTCACCAACAAAAAAATTATGAATATTCCTATCCCACTTAATGATAAGTTGGGCTTGACAACCAGTCCTCACTTCCTGCCTAGGATTTTTTGTTAATGGATCTCAGTTGTCGGCAACCTAAAACCCCTTCTTATTACAAACAAATAGCCTTGAAGTGATTTGCCCCTCTTTGTTCTTGTTCACATAACCCTTCTAATACTAAAGCCTAGCCTTCCTCCTTAAGCATTATAGAAATTATATGTTTCTTGTTCTGTATCAAATGTCATGTGAACTCTGGGCTTCCAATCACAATCACCCCTCTCATTCTCAACATTGTTAGGTTCCATATCAATGCGCCAAGTCACTTAAAAAATAAAAAAGTGCTCGATATTAGCATAAAAACTATAAATTATGTTTGCAAAATAATACAAACTAAATAAAAACACTACAAGAATTGACTCATATTAGATTATATAAACAAAGAGGAACAAATCCCTTCAATAGTAAATTATGTTTTCAATGATCCAGATTTAACACAAATCCCTTAATTTTCTTATAATCAACATGTGAACATACAAAATCAAAATTAAACAACAAAAACAAACAACATAAAAAAATAAAAAATAAATCTACCATTCTATAGCTCAATCATCGATACCAGAGTCCATATATTTTAAACGTGACATTGTAGATCAAGTAGTTCTCAATTTTAAATTCTTGGAATTTAAATGCCTAGATTGTAAATCTATGGGGTTAATAATCATCTGTTTGTACAAAAAGAATATAAATACAATGTTTAGATATCAAAGATTTTAAAGCCTATTTAACAGGCCACTATTATATACATCTTCTATTTGAATAAATAATGAGTTGCATATGAAGAAGAAGCTTGATGAGACAGGAAATAAGAAGTTCTCATACAAAAACTATGATATTTTACAACCAAAGGTGAACTACTTGTTGACCTGTTTTACCTTTGGAAAATCTTTGTGAAGAGTTAATTGGCTTTCAATTAACTCTTTGTATACTGGATGTTTTTAATTGGCTTTCTACTTGTTGCCCTGTTGAGAAGTCTCAGGTCTCAATATGTTTTTAACTTTTTTGTGATGAGTTAAAGTCAAATTGATGTTTTAAATTTCTTTTCCAGAGACATCTTCATTCAAAATATGTGCACAAATCAACAATATAGAAAAGTAAAAAGGGATGAATGAAATGTTATTTACCTCAGCAACGATGGTGACGATTGGACGACGGCGGCGGCGGCGGGGCGACCACCGGACTGTAGCAACGGGTGGACGGCGACACCCCCGCCTCTCTTTTCTCTTCTCTCTCTCTCTCTCTCTCTTCTTCTCTCTTTCGCGCACTCCCGCTTTCTGCTACAGCTTTTGCTATACCTGGAGGGAATTTTGGGAATTTTGAATTAAAGCATTAATTTTTTTTTTTTTGAAATTATTAACCAAAACGACGTCGTTTTAGTTAGTTTTATTTTGAGCCGTTGGATCACCCCACTTCAGGGATCACTTCAGGAATAAAAATCTAGAGGATCCTGATACTTAAAACAGTTGGTGATGATGGTATTATTTTGCAGTGTTTTTATTTAGTTTGTATTAATGATGTTGCTGAGTTGTCAAATTAGTTTTTTTTTTTTAATTTTTTATTTAAGATTTTAAATATCAATTTTATTTTAGAATCTACACTTATCAAACCAAATCAATATTAAATATTCACAATTTTTTGAAGGAATTTTTTTAATTTTCTAAAATGGTGATGTTTCACAATTTCTATGCATACGAAGAAATTACAAAATTCCGTAGTTTCTATTGCTGATATTATGTAGATTCTAAATGACTTTCTCAAAAAGCAAGTACCCAATTGACTTCCTAAAGATAGGAAATGAGTAGCGCTTCTTTGAACTAATTGAACCAATTCTTAACTCTTCACGACATGAGTTTTGGGTACAGTAGAAACAGATACGGTCAAGTGATCGAGTTCACTAGTGATTCGACGTAGCATATGGAAAATAATAAACAAGAGAAGGGTAATTTCACTGTTTCTGTGTTTAAGAAATTACAAAAAATTTCATAGTTTCTCAAATTGAGAAACATCAAAATTACACATTTTTATTTGGTAAACCACGAAAGTTCTCATTTTCATAGTTTTCCAAACCGAAAAACCTCAAAATTACATCGAAACATCAAAACATTGAAACTGTGAAAATTCAATTTTTGTATAGAAATTGAGAATTAATTAAGAACTACGAAATTTCTCATTTTTTCAAGGAAAATGGTATATGAGTGTACTTTTTAGACTCAGTGATGTGTTAAGAACATAATTGGTTCAAATTTAAAAAATAGGTCTAACTTTTGGATTTGAACATCAATTCTGTTTTTTTAAATTGCAAAATTTCACAATTGCTTATGTGATATTTCTTAGGTCTTTTTGTTTAAATTTTATATTGAATATATATCTTATCTGATAGATTTCATGGGATAGATTCCACAAATATAATTTTTTTAATAGAAAATGGATATGAAAAATAAAAGTTATAAAATTTTAAAATTTTACGAAAAAAATAAGGTTGCGTTTGGTTTTCTTTTGAAATTATGATTTCAATAAAAAAAATTCAAAACTCTTTTCAAAACTTATAATCAAACACACACAACTCAAAACTATTCAAAATTCAATTCAAAAATTATTTTCAAAACTCATAACCAAACACACAATTAAAAACTTAATTCAAAACTCTTTTTAAAACTTAAAATTAAACTCTTTTCAACACCTTATTTAAAAAAAAACTTAAAAATATTTTTTTATTTTGTCTTTTAAAATTATTTTTAGAATCATGATTTGAGTATGAAGTCGTGCTTTGAGTTATGAGCTTTGAGTTGAGTTTTGAAAAGAAAAATTTTTTTAGTTATGAGTTTTGAAAAGAGTTTTGAGTTGTATTTTAAAATTTTTTGGATTTATTTTTTTTAAATATTTAAATATTTTCTTTATTTTATATTTTAAATATTTATTTATTTATTTTAATGTGCACTATATTTCATATATTTGTGTGTTGTATTTTTTAAAATATTTTGAATATATCTTTGAAATATTAAAAAAAATAAAAATATATTTTTTATTTTAAATATATAATTTCTATTTTAAATATTTTATAAATATAGTTTTAAAAATTTTAATTTTTTTTTGTTATGTGTTTGGTTACAATTTGATTGTGGAATTTTGAAAGTAGTGTGAAGTTTCGAGTTACATGTTTGGTTATGAATTTTGAAAATAATTTTTTAATTGAGTTTCAAGTTATGTGTTTGGTTACAATCTGAATGTGGAGTTATATTTTGAGTTTAAAATATTAAAATTAAAAAAATTAAAATATTTACAAAATAAAATAAAATAAAATAATTTAAATATAAATTATATATTTAAAATAAAAAAATAAAATTTTCTTAAACAATTTTTAATATTTTTTAAAAAATAAATCGAAAAAAATTTCAAACTACAACAAAAAATTTCAAAAACTTAAAACTCAAAAAACAACTCAAAACTTTTTTGAAAATTTAAAAACTCTTTTCAAAACTCATAATTAAACAAATTTTCTCTTTTCAAAACTCAACTTATAATTTCACACTTAAATTATAATTTTACACTCAATTTATAATTCTAAAACTAAATCAAACGTTGTCTTAAATTTTTGTATCTCATTTAATGAGGTGTGGCACACAAATCCTAACACGCAAACGGGTGCTCTGAAAGGTCTTTCTAGCCATTAAGCCCTCATTTGACATAAGCTAAATGGGGTTTTTTGAGCTAAAATAGCCACAAAAAGATAAAATAGGCTTTTAGTCCAATAGGACAAAATGTTACATTTAGACCATATTCATTTCATTTTTTCTCTCACAAAAGTCAAAAAAACCAAAAAGTCAATCTCAAACGAGACTTTTCAGCTCCAAGCTAAAATAGACAAAAAGTCAAAAAGCCAACCAACATCCCAAACGATGATTAAAATTCCCTAGCTTGTTGGAAACAAAGCTACCCAACAATACACCCCTTAGCCCTCGTTTGTTAAACGAGAGACTTTTTGGCTAAAATAGCCACAAAAAGACAAAATAGAATTTTTAGCCTAATAAGAAAAAATGTCACATCCAAACCATAATTATTTTATTTTTTCTCTCACAAAAGTAAAAAAAAAAAAAAAAAACCAAAAAGCCTATCACAAACGAGGCTTTTTAGCCCCAGGCTAAAATAGCCAAAGGTGATCGAAACCCCTCCATGGTATTTTTTTTTCTTCAAATTTTCTTAATTATTCTTTGTGATCAATTTTTGTTCATCTGATTTTCATATCATATTTGTCTCAATTTCATTCATATTTGTCTCAATTTCTTCATATATGTGTCAATTTCATTCATATCTTGATGTTCATATCTGATTTTCTTCATATCTGACTGAGATTTGGTGATAAATGAATTTAAAAAAAAATTAAAAAAAATAAAATTTGAGAAACTGAATTTGGGTTTGTCTCAATTTCATTCTGAAATTTATTTTCATCTCAAAATTGAATTTGATTTTGAAAAATGGGCTCCCTTCTGTTTAAATTCTGTTGTATTCAACTGAATTTGGTGCCAAATTGTTGTTCATTTTTGCTGATTTGGCAAGCTTGGGAGCTGCTATTTCACTTGCCATATTTGACAACACATATGGCATCTGCCATTTTTGGCAAGTGAAATAGCAGACCATTGGAGACCTGTTTTTGCCATTCTTGTCATTTTTTAACTTTGGCAAGTGAAATAGCAGCCCCATTGGAGATGCTCTAAGGTTAAGTTGTTTATTTGCACAAGAAAACAAATCATACTAATTTGACGGTTTCAGTACAATACTACAAAAAAAGAAGAGGATTTCTCTCATCGACACACCGAAGTGCAGTGTTGTTGTGTTGACTTTCATGGGTCTATGTTGTAGGAAAAACTAAAAATTAT